GGTCTCACTGAATTGCTTAGTGCCTTGCTTTTGCTGAGGCTGGCTTTGAAATTGCGGTCTCCCTGCTTTCTCCTTTATTTTATTTATTTATTTTTATGTGTGTTGAGGATCAAATCCAGGGCCTCACACATGGTAGGCAAATACTCTACCACAGAGCTACAGCCCCAGACCCTCCAGTCTCATCTTAAGCAACATCTCCTTTATTCTGTGTTCAACTGCCTTTCTTTGTTCTGCTATACTCTCTGACTTCCCTGTCTTACTAGTTCTTTGAGAGACAATTCAAGGGTCCAGATTCTCAGAATCTGTACCTAACTATACCCTATCCTGACTCCTCTTCTGTACACTTTGTACAAATGCCATAATTGTTATTTCTACATCATACTACATAATCATCTTTTCGTGTGGTGTGACTATCTCTGAATAGACTTCGAGATAGGAATTACGGCTTCTCCATCTTTGTAGCCTTCCATCTCCCACGCCTTGGGCCTAACAATAAATAGCTAATATTAATTCAAAAAATGTAGATGAGGGTGGGGCTGGGGCTATAGCTCAGTGGCAGAACACTTGCTTAGCATGTGTGAGGCACTGGGTTTGATCCTTAGCACCACGTAAAAATAAAGAAATAAAATAAAGGCATTGTATTAGTCTACAACTACAATTTTTTTTTTAATGTAGATGAAGAAGAGACAGGAAAAGGGTTCAGGAATGGTGGGATGAAATTGACCAAATTATGCTATGTACATATATGAATAGACCACAGTAAACTTCACTTTTAGGTATATCTTTGAAGTGCTAATTTTAAAGAACTGTAAGTAAATAGAAGGAAAATGACTAGAGGAATGAGATTGGGAGAAGGAGGAGCAGAAGGAAATGGGGACTAAAGTGGAGCAAATTTTATTCCATACATATATAATTATGTCAAGGGCTGGGGTTGTGGCTCAGTGGTAGAGCGCTTGCCTAGGATGCGCAGCCCTGGGTTCCATCCTCAGCACCACATAAAAATAAATTTTAAAAAAAGTATAAAAAAAGAGGCATATATAATTATGTCAAAATGAGATTCATTTTAGTCGTTATAGTACTGTAGGATATACTAGGTATACATTATAGTATATAATGCTAAGATATAGTATAACATTATATATATCTACACTGCACTAAACATTTAAATGTTGATGAATCAAATGAGCCTATCTAGTAATCAATCACATTTAGTATCTTTGAGGATTTTCCTCAATATCTAAAGGAATGAGATGTCTCAGTATCATCTGGGCTAGTTTTACATCCTCACCATCATCCCTTCTTTTGTTTATTTCACTGATCATATGGTAACACAATCCTAGAACTATATTTTATGCCGCAGTCCGGCTTTTAGCATTTAAATACAAAAATCTTCCTTCACAAAGGATTCTACAAAACTTGTTTTATAAAAAAATAGCTTATATTACTATAATACTTCTCTTACACATAGTATTAGAATTATCTTCACCCAGCCATCCTTGTTAGAGAACTGATAATCAGTCAATATTTTATTCCTTTTACATCTATTGGTGACTTTTGTTGCCATTTGTTTGTCATTTGTTTGTTTATGAGACAGAGTCTAAGTTGTCCAAACTGGAGTTGAACTTACACTCCCTTCTACCTCAGCCTGCCAAGTAGCTGGGAGTATAGGCAGACACCACCATGCCTGGCCTTCTATTGATGATTTTATTATGGTAGCATTAAATATTTTTTTAATATTTATTTTTTAGAAGTAGCTGGACACAATACCTTTATTTTGTTTATTTATTTATTATTTATTTTTATGTGAAGCTGAGAATTGAACCCAGGGCCTTGCACATACTAGACGAGAACTCTACCACTGAGCCACAATCCCAGCCCCGGTAGCATTAAATGTTAAAGAAGAGTTTTCTGGAAAAAAAAAATGACCCTGAATGGGATTAACATTATAATTCTATAAAACTAAATATTATTATGAAATATTGATCTGCCACCTCCAACCAGTGCGGGCAACTCAGCAAAAGAGCTGAATTAAGATCGCTCAAGTGAATTTGCAGAGACACAAAACAAAACATAGACACAATTTACCTTTATATAAGCTTCAGGGCAGCTTCCCTGGCTCTTAGCCTCAGACTCCCCAAAAGGGAAAGAAAGAGAAAATCACAAGAGGCTGATGAGAAAGAGGGAACACGTTCAGAAATGGGTTTTTATTGGGGGGACTCTTGTTCTTAGAAAGTTCTATCCAAAAAAACGGCAGAATGGGCAGGCGTACCAGGGAACCGGTGAGGTAACTCAACCCTAAGGGCACACCCCACTAAGAAGACCTCCTTGCTATTCCAGCAGGCCTCAGACAAGGCCACAAAAAAAGCAGTGGTTGGCCAGGGCCTGAGGCATCAGGACTGGAAGACGTGGTCATTCAATGTGGCTCCCTACATTGATGCATATATTTCAGTTTTTTGTGATTTTACTCAGATAAGTTCATGTCATTTAGTTCTTCAAAATCTTCAGTAAATGTTGAACAAACCAGTTGTCATATAGTGTCAAAGAATTCTCCCAAAACATTACCAAGCCTATATAATATTAAAAGTGAAATCTGCAAACCTCAAAAGAACAGCTAAATTTACCATTACTTAAACTGTTCCAGAGCACAAAAGATAATCTTTCACATTTTTAATGATGCAAACCTAAAAATCAAGCCAAAACACAACAAAGATATGACCAGACCATAAGAAGTAAGCTACCTGCCAAACATACTCCTAGTATCAATGGAAAAAATCCTTAATAAAATATTTTAGAGTCTACGGCACTTTTAAAGAATGATACACCAGGAACAAATAGATTTATGCTAAGAATGTAATGATGGCTTAATGTAATTGAGTATGTTAATAGATCTAAGAAATAGATCCTGTGAAAATGAAGTATTAAAATCACACTTCATGCTGAGCATGGTGGCACACAACTGTAATCCCAGAGGCTTGAGAGGCTGAGGCAGGAGAATCATAAGTTCAAAGCCAACCGAAGCAAAAGTGAGGCACTAAGCAACTCAGTGGGACCCTGTCTCTAAATAAAATACAAAAAAGTGTTGGGAAGTAACTCTGTGGCCAAGTGCCCCTGAGTTCAATGCCTGGTACCCCCAAAATAAAAATAATAAAAAAATCACACTTCACAAAAAGTTATTTGACAGATTTGACAAAACTCAACATCTGTCATCATCATCATCATCATCATCATTATTTTTGGCAATACTAGCGATTAAACCCAGGGGTGCTCTACCACTGAGTCACATCCCCAATCCTTTTTTATATTTTATTTAGAGACATGGTCTCACTAAGTTGCTCAAACTGGCTTTGAACTTGCTATCCTCCTGCCCTAGCCTCATGAGCTGCTGGGATTACAGGCATGCACTTTTAAATACTCTTTAAGATAAAATTTTCCTGGAAAACAAAACAACATAAGGCCATGGAAATATACTCTTAGTTGTTACTCAGGGCAAGTGAAATAAAAAAAGATGGCCTTGTAGCTGTATCACCAATATAAATTTATTTTTATGGTTTATTATGTTGTTGTTTTCATGGTGCTAGGGGTGAAATCCAGTGACTCACAAATGCTGTACAAGTGTCCTACGACTGAGCTATACCTCCAGTTGATGTCACCACTATTTTAAAGTACTAACCAATAAGGTACTAACCAATCCATAGACAAGAGATTTAGATGTTTAAAATTATTATTTGCAAATGAAATTGAGATAGGGATTTAGGATAAAGAGAGAGAAATATTGAATCTTAAAGGAAACACCCACAAGACATTGAGATGTTAGAAAACATAGTTATAAATCTTGAGCAACATCCCCTTGTAAAATGAGGAAAATTTGCAAGTGCAGAGAAAACTGGCATGAAATTGTGCAGTTCCACTCTGGATCCCCCTTCAGTCTGGCCCCTGATATATCCCTTCCATAAATATTAAACCTTCAGCCCACATCAGAGCTGCTTCTCAGTTATTTTTCTAATATTTAAAAAAAAATTATGAGCTGGGTCTGGGACTCAGCAGTAGCGCACTTGCCTGCCATGTATGAGGCACTGGGTTTGACTCTCAGCACCACATATAAATAAATAAAAGTCTATCAACAGCTAAAAAATTGAAACAAAAATTTTTAGTAGTTAATGGACCTTTATTTTTAAAATTTGTTTATTTATATGCAGTGCTAAGAATCAAACCCAGTGCCTCACACATGCTAGGCAAGTGCTCTACCACTGAGCTACAACCCCAGCTCATGCTTTCTCTTGAGATAGCCCACATTCACCCTTGAATAAATAAACCTCTCTCTATGCCTTTGTCTGACTCATGATGAAATTTTTTTCTGTCACATATGCCAAGACACCCTCTGGTCCTGAGTCGTCCCCCTCTCTTCTGGGAACTCCTTGGACACTTCTCCAAAGACATCTCTTCTCCTGTAACATCTCTTGGCACTCAATGTGAGGCACTGATTTTGTATTAACAAATATTTTCTGTCTTGACTATGACTTATTCTGTTAGTTACTGTAGCTATAACACCCTCCCCTCCACTTTCAAAGATCAAAGAACATTATCTCCATCTACCTCATTTGCCATCCCCTTTCTTGGGTGACTGGAAAAAAAGGCCATGTAAATTCAGGTGGCACTAAGATGACGGCTGAGGCCATCCTAGGGATCTGGTGAGAGTCCGAACTCTAAAACTGTGAAGGAGATCAGTGGTCATTTTTAAAGCCCTTTCTCTCCCTCATGCTGCATAGTGGGAATCTCATAGGTTTCTCAGCCTCTGTGGGACTTAAACAAGTATGTTCTTACTTTTTTCTTTTCTTTTCTTTTTTTTTAATATTTATTTTTTTTAGTTCTCGGTGGACACAACATCTTTGTTGGTATGTGGTGCTGAGGATCGAACCCGGGCCGCACACATGCCAGGTGAGCGCGCTACCGCTTGAGCCACATCCCCAGCCCTGTTCTTACTTTTTTTCTTCCTCCTTTCCTTGGACTAAAGCCCTTTTCTCCCTTAAGAAGATGAATGCTTATTTATAAAAGCACCTAAGAAATTCAATAGAATGAATTGGACGTAACTTTCCTATGTTCATATATGAATACATGACCAAGAATGGGAAGTTATACTCCATGTATGTATGATATGTCAAAATATACTCTACTATCATGTGTATCTAAAAAGAACAACAAGGGCTGGGGATGTGGCTCGAGTGGTAGCGTGCTCGCCTGGCATGTGTGCGGCCCGGGTTTGATCCTCAGCACCACATACAAACAAAGATGTTGTGTCCACCGAAAACTAAAAAATAAATATTAAAATTCTCTCTCAAAAAAAAAGTTAAAAAAAAATAAAAAGAACAACAAAAAAAGCATCTAAGATAGGAGAGTCCCTGAGGCCAACATACCTTGTTCCTGGTGGGTCAGAGGGAACATAAATTGCCTATCTGGAAAATGCATAAGAGGGATTGGTCTCCCAGTGTCTTGAGTACCCCTTCATTTTGATTCACCTGAGACACATTGTTGGAAGGACTTAAACTTGATGTGAAAAAGAAGCTACCTCCTCCATTAATCACCACAGTCAGACCCAATACACTTAGTGGCCAATCTGACTCTAAGATTCTGCTATAAATCTCTCAGTCTTAAGTTTCAGCTAAAACTCAAATTCTGAGGGAGACCTCTTGACCTCACTCCCTTTTTTAAAATATCTTTGTACAGGTCTCACTTACATGCACCAGCTAAATTATTCTATCTAGGGGCTGTAATTCTATCAGGTAAACAAGGGACTTGTAAAGAGGTGATGCAAAGTCTGTGCCTGTCAGGAGTCATGATTTACCTGTAGCCTTGAGAGATAACAGTTTCTTAGGCCTGCAGGCACCAGCTCTAAAGTCTAAATTCCTTCATTCTTACCATGGTCAGATAACTCAGTTGGGGGAGGGAAATAGTTAATCTCACTTCCCCCTTAATTAGGGAGGAAGAAAAAATAAAAATGTCAGTTTTAAAATGAGCTGCAATTTTCAGAACAGTGAGGGTTATGTTCCAAACATAAAGCAGGCCCCTGTTACATGAACAAATTTTTAATTAAAACTTACCTGACTTTGTCTTATCTCAAAGTGCCTCTAAGCTCTCTACAAGGTTTTCGTGTCCTTGCTATTTAAATAATAAAATATTCTAAATTCTTAAGTGCACCTAGATTATTTGAGATTTTAGGGATGTTCTTCTTTGGATGTTTTTCTTTTTTTTCTTGAGGTGTAGGTAGGGGTTATAAAGTACCCTGAAAACTGCATAACAGGAACAAGGACATTCATACTGCTGAAAATTTGCAGACAATTTGGGACAGACTTGAAGGTCTGGTCCTGAGAGACACAAAGTATACCCCAAAGATAAACTATGGGACAGACTTTTTAAAAAGTTTGATCCTGGTTGGGAACTCAAAGACTACCTCAAGTCCTGTTTTCTTTCCAGAAAACTACATTGGAGGTTATGGGTAATTTAGGGTATATCCCTGAGAACTCACCCCTTGGGTGCATATTAAGCAATTGAAATTAGTTTAAGACAGAGGACTTAAATCAATTTTTTTTTCCCATAACGACTTGGTCCCAATATAAATTAGAGAATGGAGGTTTGTTCTGTAAATGGGAAAAATAGATAGAGATCTGACTATCTGGGTTTCCTCCTTCCCTCAAACTGCCTGTAAAAAAAGGTGGGGATAATTAAGCCACAGGAGGTAGCACACACCTGTAATCCTGTCACCTGGGGAGGCTGAGCCAGGAGGATCGGGAGTTCAAAGCCAGCCCTAGAAATAGGAGGTGCTAAGCAACTCAATGAAACCCTGTCTCTAAACAAAATACAAAAAAGGGGGCGGGGGTGCTGGGGATATGGCTCAGTGGTTGAGTGCCCATGAGTTTAATCCCTGGTACCCAAAAAAAGGCTAATTATTCAAAGATGTTGTCTTAAGCAGCTTTTCAATAGCTAACTCTCAAACTCTCTTGGGACTAAAGGAAAAAGCAAGAGATCTTTTCCTTTAAAAGATTCTTTTAAAAGTAAAATAAACAGTAATGATAGCTGACATGGATCTATCTCATGGATGGACAAGTAGCCACCTGAACCATTGATTCAGTGTCCGGACATGATTGATAGATCTTGCCCCAGCTATTGCCAACTGTACAGATCTCCCCCTTCACCCAATTGGGAATGTCAGTCCTGACTTGCTTCAGTTTCCTCTCTGGGTGAAAGTTGGTGTGTGGGACTGAGGAAGGCTTGAGACAATTAAAGGCAACTGACCAGGGCCACTCCCCAGTGCTGCATGAAGATCTCAGGTCCAGAATCTGACCCCAACAGCCCTAAAGGGTACCAAATATCAACCACCGTCTGTTCTTTCTGTTACTGATTGACTTGGCCCCATGGTGGAGGGCACCCTCGTTTGATGAATCTTGGATCTGAGATTAAGTCTTAGTCTGATCTGAGGTCTTTGGGAAAGAGATGACCCATTCATTAATCCCCAGAGCATGAGCTAAGCAGTCTCTCCCTCTTCAAAAATACTTCTACCTGGTATCTGCCTATTAAACAGGGATCCATTAGGCAAGATTACTGTAATATAACTTCATAATTAGTCTGCCTTCCCTAGACCCTCACGAGATTATTTTTTCTTCTGTATTCCCTTTTTCTGGTAGGAAAAAGAACAGAAGTTCTGTTTCATTTTATTAGGGTAAACTATCCTTTATCTCTCCTAGTTCACAGAGCCAAATTATTTACTTTCTCTATTGGGGATATCACCCAGAACACTAATGGGCTTTCTTCCCACTTTAATTGAGGAGGATAATATGAAATCATGTTTCTATGAGTATGGGGACCCAAAAGGACAAAGGGAACATGTAAGAAAGTTTTTAAAGGCACAGCTCGATGGCAAATATCCTCCCTTAAACTAAATAGTTATCAAGAAGTTAGTATCCTTCATTCTGAGTGAGGCCCAATTGCCCCCTCCAGTACCCCACCAAAATTTATTAACTAACGATAGGCTCAGCATAGACAGACTAGGATTCATTATAAGAAAGGCATCTAAGAATTTCATGGGCTTCCAGGTTAACAAGTCACACAGAAAGGGTAGTTAGTCTAAAAGCTTGCATCTTTTTTTTTTTACATCTTTTTTTTTTAAGAGAGAGTGAGAGAGAGAGAGAGAGAATTTTTAATATTTATTTTTTAGTTTTTGGCAGACACAACATCTTTGTTGGTATGTGGTGCTGAGGATCGAACCCGGGCTGCACGCATGCCAGGTGAGCGTGCTATCGCCTGAGCCACATCCCCAGCCCATAAAAGCTTGCATCTTTTTCATGGCCACCCATGAAGGAGGAGAGAAGTTATTACCATGCTGGTAAGGCAGCAGTTAAGTCCAGAGATCATGGAAGGAGAATGGAAACTGCTGACCACTAGAGGCTCCAGAATCTGGGAGACATCACTTAGCCAAAGACAGAGGCTCCAGAATCTGGGAGATGTTCCCTAGCCCTAGACAGTTTCCATGGCACAGGTGTCCATGTTCTGTTCCCTTTTGTTCTTTTTGGTTGTTGTTCAGAAGGGAGTCTTGGCCTCAAAAATAATACCAGGGAACAACCTAATCATAGTTGAGAAAAAGGAAATGCCTGATAATTTTCTGCATCCAAACCTAGCCTGATTACCAAGTAGGAAAACAGAGAAATAACCTCCAGAGGGAAACATAAACTATAACATAAACTATAACACCACACCATAAGAGACTGGTTTTACAAAAAGGAGACAGATAAACATGATAAAAAAAAAAAGGCACTGGGTTCAATCCTCAGCATTGCATATAAAAAAATATAAAAGTCTATTGACAACTAAAAAATACACATTTAAAAATAATCTGCTTTTGCTATCTTTTTTTAAGTTGTAGAAGGATACAATACCTTTACTTTCATTTTTTATGTGGTGTTGAGGATTGAACCCAGTGCCTCACATATGAACTGAGTCACACTGAGCCACAACCCCAGTCCCTGCTTTTGCTATCTTAAACAAGTTTCCATCCCACAGAACTTCTATAAGAAGGCTTTAAAGCATATGATCTGATAAATATGAATATACTTCTAGGCAATGAGGGGGAGTGTTTGAAATCAGAACTGTACCAGAAAACTGGATATGATAATTAAATCTACCTGGCATGCTGGATCAGGCTATAGGCAATGTACTTGCGGAACAGGTATCCCAGCCGAATATTGTTCATATGAAGTGTCTCAATTATGAGATTCCTAGCCGTTGTATGTTGCTGCGAAGGGAGTCCAGAAGTTTTTGTGGCCTGATTTAATAGTATGAGATTCTTCCTCTGAGCCTCTACATCAACAAAATATCTCTTTTCTTCAAGCTCTTGGGGAGAGGAAGGGGGCTCTGTCACCTTTGGTTTCTTGATGCCTAAAACTGAAGGCAGAATCCAGGGCTTGTCTATAGGAGGGAATCGAGATTTCTGGTCCCATTGAGCAGGTAAGATCTGTGATATTTTGGGTAGTTGAGTTATTAGAGAAGGTAGTGACATTTGAGGTTTCATGAGAGGTGGAAGGGCCTGCCCATCAATGTGAGGGGTTTGCAATATTGGTATCCTATAATTGGTGAGATGGGACTGAAAGGTTTCAAATGGTCCCATGGCAGAAGTATCTTGGAGCATCTTGGTTTCTTCAGAAGTGTCAGAGACCTCTGATATTTGGGCCTTCTTAGTGGTGAAAGGAGCTTGAGATACCTTAGAATCTGGAGCACTTGGATGAACCAAAGCTGGTTTAGATTTCAAAGAAGAAATAATTGCTGATCTTTTCTGAGCAACAGAAGAGGACAAAACTCCCTGGGGCTTTTCAGGGGCTATGGGAGGCCAGAATGTGGAAGGATGTCTGGGAGTGGAAGGGACCGATAGTGGTGAAACTTGTCTGGGAATAATCCATGGTGCCAGTTGCTGCCCAAAGAGAGAAGAAGTCTGCAGATAGGGAGAGGGCTCAGGGGTGGCAGAAGGCCTGAGTGCCTGGGGCTGCTCCAAAAAGCTGGGTCCAGATTCCTGAAGCTCCCTGGGGATGGAAGAGGCTTCAGGAACCAAGGGCTTTCCAGGAGACAGAGGATCCCAGAGTTTGGGGATCTGTCCAAAGGTGGATGGGAATCTTGATATAAGAGGTTGCCTGGGAGTGACAGGGGTCTGCAATATCAGAGGTGGCTGGGGAGTCAGAAGGCCCCTAGATATGAAGAACTGCCTAGAACTAAGGGCCTCCTGTTCAAGGGGCTGTCCTGGAATGGGAGGGACCCAAGATATTGGGAGTTGCCCAAGATTGGGAGAGATCTCTGGTGCTACAGACTGTGCAGGAATGAATTGACCTTTACCTACCAGAATCTGTCTAGAGGTAGGAAAGATTTGTGGTGCCAAGAGCTTTCCTGGGCCAGAAGGAATATGCATTCCTTGGCCTTTCCTAGGACTACCAGGGCTTGGAGATAGTCTTGATGGAATGGATTGTTTAGTGGGGAAAGAAGTCTTCAATTCATGAAATGGTCTAAGAGTGGAAGGAGCCAATGTGGAAAGCTTTTCCAGGGTGAGAGGAGTGCCAAGTGCCTGGGCCTGCTGGAAGGAGGGAGTGACCCTCAATGCATGGAACTGCTCCAGGCTAATAATGTTTGATGCCCCTTGAAACTTTTCTGGAGTGATAGAAACCCTCAATTTTCTGGCCTGTTCTTCAGTAAGAGGGACTTCTAATGCCTGTGCTATCTTGGGGGTATGGCTGATACCTACTGCCTGACCAGAAGGGAGAGGGGGCAGCAATGCCTGAACCTGCTCAGGAGTGAGAGTGGCACCAAATACCTGGGCTGATTGAGGGGAAAGAGTGACAGCTTGAGCATGGGCCTGCTGAAGGTTAAAACTAATCCCCAGGTCCTGTGCCTGCTGTGGAGTGAGAGGGACCCTCTGTGCCTGGGCCTGCTGAGGGGTAAGAGTAATCCCCAGGTCCTGTGTCTTTTGAGGGGTGAGACGGATACCCAGATCTGGGGCTTGCTGAGGGGTGAGAGTGATCCTCTGTGCCAGCGGTTGCTGAGGGGTGGGAGTGAACCCCAAGTCTTGGGCCTGCTGAGGGGTGAGAGTGACCCCCTGTGCCTGAGCCTCCTCAGGGGTAAGAGTGAACCCCAAGTCCTGGGCCTGCTGAGGGCTGAGAGTGATTCCCTGTGCCA